ATCCATGCCCTCGAGGCCATCTTCGGAGCTGCGGCCCCCATCTTTGTTTCGAGAGCTGTTTTTCGCGCCAAAGCACCACCCTTACCATGTTTGAACACCACCCCTCAAAAAGGCGATTTCTCGAAATGGTTAAGGGCCTCTTTTTGAATCCTTGCGGCTGGCCTTCGATGCCCTGGTGGCCATCTTCGGAGCCACGGCCCCCATCTTTGCATCGAGAGCTGTTTTTTTTTGTTCGCGCCACGTCAACGCCATCCCCCAACCCCAAACCCCAAATCTCTCTAAACGCAGCTGCGGTTTGCAAGGTGTGGTTGTTGGTGCCTCTGGCGCATGATGTCACCTTGATATTTTACTCATCGTTGATGCCATTGGTGTTGCCGTCTCGTTGTGCCGTTTTCAGCGCAAGCAGTTGTTTCGCTTCAGTCGGCTTCACCGCATTCGCTGGCGTTTTCCTTTACGCAGTGCAGCAATGGCAGCACCCCAGGTTAGTCTCAGCGGGGCGCTGGACATAGTTTTGACTGTGCCTGAGCTGCCAGCGAGTGTTACTTCGCACGTTTGCATTCAGATTCCAGCTGTGCTGACCATCGTGGGCCAGAAGCCAATTTCTTCGCAGGCGGCGGCATCGGCGACCCCAGGGCCCTTGCCCATCATGGGCCACTCGTCGCATCCTGCGCTTCCGTTGGGCGAGCAGCATCAACAACAACAACAACAGCAGCTGCACGGCAATGACAGCGAGAGCTATTGGAAAGTAGAAGCCCGCGAGGTGGCCGCAGAGGTGGTTGCAGGACATGCGCGCTTCATCCGCTCCAGCGCCTCAGCCGCCCTAGCCGCTTCAGCGCAGCCGCCATCTCCACCGATCGAGGTCGATGAGAGCCAGCCTGCGGCAGTTCCATCAGTCCCACCAACTCCAGAGGAAGCCTTCCCAGGCGGCGTGGCCCCGACCCCGAGCATGCGAGTGCAGCTGCCATCAGCCGAGTGCGCCCAGGAGGACAGCGGTGAGCCTCCGAACAAGCGAGCGCACCGCGGCTAGACTCTCTACTCTGGAGTGCGCGTTAGGTTTTCCCGAGCTGCACTTAGTTTTGTTCGGAGGCGTCGCTTTGGACTCAGGTAAAGCTTTCCTGTGCTGCACGCCTATGCGTTAAGCTGCTGTCACGTCGACACGCGTCGCGCGTGGTGGTTTTAATGATATTTGTTGGTTGAAGGCACGCGGCAACAGCCTTGCCGTCGCCTCCGAAAAAGTGAGACAGCGACCCAAGACGACACCAAAAAAACAAAACAGATGGGGATCAGGATTCCCATATTGTCCCTCCTCTGGGGAAGTCCCCAAAGGGTCCCAGGGGAGGGCCAAAAGGGCTCCAAGAGGCCCCAAGGAGGGCCCAAAAGAGCTCCAAGAAGGCCCGAAGAGGCACCCGAAACGCCCAAGACGGCACCCCCCCCCTCACAAACCAGCACAAAGATGGGAACCATGATTCCCATGTTTTCCCTCCTCTGGGGGAGCCCCCAAAGGGTCCAAGGATAGCGCCCAAAGTACTCCAAGAGGCACCAAGGAGGGCCCAGCACAGCTCCAAGAGAGCCCGAAGAGGCCCCAGAATAGCCCAAGACGCCCCCCCCCCCAAAAACGCACAAAAAAGGAATCACGATTCTCATAGTTACCCTCCTCTGGGGAAGTCCCCAAAGGGTCCCAGGGGAGGGCCAAAAGGGCTCCAAGAAGCCCAAGGAGGGCCCACAAGAGCTCCAAGAGAGCCCGAAGAGGCACCATAAAATATTACCATCTCTTCCCTCGTCTGGGGGAGCCCCCAAAGGGTCCAAGGAGAGCGCCAAAAGTACCAAAACAGTTCCAAGAGAGCCCGAAGAGGCCCCAGAAGCGCCCAAGGCGCCCCCCCCAAAAATAACACAAAAAAATGGGAATCAATATTCCCAGATTTTGCCTCCTCTGGGGAAGTTCCCAAAGGGTCCCTTGTGCCAGCCCCCCCCAGTCGTTCTTCCCTCTATCTAATTGCTCTTTCCGATGACAAGGGCGCTTCGCTCATGGACGGTCATCGACATTTTCGATTTCTGATGTTGTCGACCCTGCTCGGCCTCCATTGCCGTTGTGGCCCGAGGTTCTGGAGGCGCTGCGGGCAGCCGCCCCCGCCTCGGACCGTCGCATACAAGTGCAGTCGATGCCGCCAGAGCGCCCCCCGCGGCGCATCGCCCGCCCCAGGTGGGTCATGAGGCTCCATCCAGCAGCCCGCAGGCGCGTCAGGATGATGATGGTAGCGCTCCGCGTGTATAGCATCAGAGTTCGTTACCTCAACCGCAGGATCAAGAGCTTCAGGACTTGCTTCACTGGCATCAGCAACACCATCATCAACATGATGACATCCGACGACAACGCGGCAACTGCAGCCGCTGCTTTCTGTCAGCAAGTGCATGTGGCCGAGCAGCTGAGCGGTTCTGAGAGCGAGTGAAAGGACGAGTATTGAGAGGGCAGCCGCAGCCAGCTCAACAGGGGGAGGGGTGGACTGGAGAACGAGCAGATGAAGCGAGGGCGGAGGTAAGGACGTGTAAGGGGGGGGGGGGTTGGGGGGGGAGGGGGGGGGGGGGGGGGGGGAGGGGGGGGGGTGGGGGGGGGGGGGGGGGGGGGGGGGGGGGGGGGGGGGGCGTGGAGGACGAGGAGAGCCGAGGGCCTAGCCCGACTAGGTTTATTTTGGCCAGCTCCGAAGACCTACTTCGGTCTTCGGCTGGGGTCGAGGATGATCAGCTTGGCGCTCGCCAGCGCAGGCATCATTTCGCGCTTCCCTGTATCCTTGCGGTCGTCGTCTTCTCTGCTTTTGCAGTATGAATCTGTGGAGCAGGGGGCGGCGCCAGGTTGCGTAAGCCCCCCTGGTTCTGATGCTCAGATGGGCCACGGGATTTCGAAAGCGGCGCTTCCCGTTCCAACGGTTCACGGTGGCGCATGAGGTCAGTTAGATTAGTTAGATTATTGCGCCCATCGTTCCTGCGGGGCGATGGCAACCCTCTCGGGCCAAGCGAGGAGGGGCCCCGCCCCTTGCTGCCAAAAACCCCTTCCCCCCCTTCTTGACAGCTGGGCGGGGCTTCCTGGGGCCCAACGTGGGCAGCGGGCCCCTCTTGGACACGCAAGGGGTCCTTCTCATTGTTCCTCTTTGGGCTCCGCTTGACTCCTGTGCCCCCTCCCCCCGCGTCCTCCCCCCTCAGAGCCAGAGCAGAGCTTTCTTGAAGCTGGAAGTTGATCGCAGGAGTGCCCAGAGGGACGCAAGAGGGCGCCCATGGCAAATTGCATTGCATTGCCATTGCTGGGTCCCGAAGGGTCCCTTACAGCTTACCCATTGCTGATTTCAGGGCAGCCTGTAGGTTTTGAGAATTGCAGTGGCATTTGTCAACGGGCGCGCAGGCAGGGCGTCGCAGGGGGCAGGGGAGGGGGAGGGGGCCAGGGGAGGTGGCGACGATGCCCCCGCGACCAGTGGTGTCATCCATTCGCCAATCCCGATCGACGGCGTGCCCAGCTACGTGCCTCACGAGTTGTACATCGCAAATTGCACACCGAGAATCTGCACTTGCATTTCACGGGTTGCATGTCATGCGTGCTGCATGTCGATGAAAGGGGCTGGACTTTTCTTGATGTTGACGCGAGTGCCGCCATGCGTGCGAATAGATGCAATGTAGAGACCATCTTGGGGTTGCCGTGGCTCCCACTTCGGTTGCTGCCTTGGTCTCTTCAGAAGGGTGGAGCGACAGTTGCCCTCGAAAGTCAAGCGTGAGAGCAGGTCTGCATTTCCAAGCTTTCCCCAAGGAGCAATACTGGTAACATATTGGACCAGCTTGAGCTATCCTGGCACCATCTTCAGGCCATCGCGGGGCACGTTTGGATACGTTCGGGCTGTTTTGGAGCTAACTGTGGCGCCAACATCTGCTCCTCAGTCTCGATTGTTCGGCGTGGCGTCAAACCAGGGGCGTCCCAAAGTCAAGAGGAAGAGCCGCATTGCACCACCCCCCCCGCAGCCTAAAACGCACGCGCGCAAACCAAAACATACATGTGCAAGCGGGGAGGAGGGGGGGAGGGGTGGGCGGCTTTGGCCATGCAGGCGGTGCCTTCTTCGGGCCAAATTCGTCGCATTTTAAGTCAACATGGGGCGACGTTGCGATATGTTCGGGCCATGCTGCAGTTACTTCGGCACCTGATCGGTTCTTACATTCGTTTTCTCAAAGTAACTGGTGTCACGTCAGGCGCCTTCCAACGTCAATAACAAGAGATCAGGGGAACCTCTTTGCACCAAGGCCGCCGCGCCTCCCCAATCGGGGCCATCCCAGGGCATTCTTGAGCAATATTGGGCCACGTTCGGACCATAGTTGAGCAATGTTGGGTCCGTCTTGCCCCCCCCCCCCAGGTCGGCAACTACTCTTGGCTCCTAAGAATGGCATGGCATAAAAGGCACTCCAACGTCAAGAGCCAGAACCGCTTTTTCAAGTGCGAGTTTCGCACCAAGGATCCATCAACTAAGGGCCATGATTCGTGCTGGCTTGGGGCCCCTGCCACATTTGAGCATCTCGGGGCCATCTTGGAGCTGAGCCCGTCTCGAAAGCCTACTGGGCCGTCTTGGGTATTGGGCGGTTCCCTGGCGCCGTTCTTGGGCCTCCAGGTGTTGGCGTCTTGGATTGGGGGGGGGGGGGGGGGGG